GACATCTTCGTACAGTGATTGCAGACGCTTTGTGAACACCAGTTATATGCCAAGTTCAAGAAGTGTGAATTTTGGCAGCGGGAAGTGAAATTTCTGGGTCACTAGTGTCAAAAAGGGGGATAGCGGTAGATCTAGCCAAGGTTTCAGTAGTGGTTAAGTGGGGACAGCCTACTTCACCTATTGAGATTCAGAGTTTCCTCAGATTGGCAGGATATTATCGTAGGTTCATCCAGGGGTTCTCTAAGATAGCGGGACCACTCACTCATCTGACTAAGAAGGGGGTACGGTTCGTGTGGGATGAGCATTGTCAGAAAGCTTTTGATCAGCTGAAGACTAAGTTGACGTCTGCATCGGTTTTGTCTACCCCACAGAGCGGGATAGAGTATCTTGTCTACACAGATGCTTCTTTGTAGGGTCTTGGATGTGTTTTGATGCAGGAAGAGCGATCGATTTCATATGGATCTCGTAAGCTTAAGCCTCACGAGCTTAATTATCCAACACATGATTTGGAGTTGGTAGCTGTGGTCTTTGCCTTACGTATTTGGAGGCATTATCTGTTGGGCGAGTCCTTCAGATTATTTAGCGATCACAAGAGTCTGTAGTATTTGTTCACTCAGCGAGAGCTAAATATGAGATAGCGCAGATGATTAGAGTTTATGAAAGACTATCATTTCTCTATACAGTACCATCCAGGGAAAGCGAATATGGTGGCAGATGCACTCAGTCGCCGACCTGTTGGTAGTCTTTCCGCTCTATTCACTACTGAGTGGAATGCATTGAAGAAGGTAGATGAATTGTCGGATGCTTTCATGGCTTATATGGTAGTTACACCTTCAATCATTCACAAGGTTTTGAAGGCACAACTCACGGATCAGCAGTGCATTGACAGAGTTAAAAAGATAGTTTCTGGTGAGGTCCCATTTTACTATATTGGGGCTAATAGAGGTTTGAGGTACAAGGGATGGTTAGTAGTACCTTCTGCTGACGAGTTGAGGAAGGATGTGATGACTGAGACTCACCACTCTGAGTTCTCTATTCATCCGGGAGGAAACAAGATGTATTAGGATATGAAGCGGCAGTTTTGGTGGGCAGGTATAAAGAAAGACATTGCTATTTTTGTCTCTCAATGTAGTACTTGTCAGATGGTCAAGATTGATCATCAACGGCCGCCAGGAGCTCTACAGCCACTGCCGATACTGGAGTGGAAATAGGAGAGCATTTCTATGGATTTCGTGGAAGGGTTGCCTAATTCCTTCAAGGATCACAATTCCATTTGGGTTATCGTGGATAGATTGACGAAATTAGCTCATTATTGCCTATTTGCATTGACTTTACTTCGAAGCAGTTGGCGAGATTTTACATTACAGAGATTTTAAAGCTGCATGGAATTCCGTTGTCTATTATATCGGACAGGAATTCGAGCTTTTTGTCAGGATTCTGGAAGAGTTTTCAGCAGGCTTTGGGTACAAAGTTGCATCTTAGCACTGCTTCTCATCTTCAAACTAATGGACAGACTGAAAGGGTTAATCAGATCATAGAGGATATGTTTTGGTCGTGTGTTCTTGATTTCAAGGGCCACTAGGAGGATTATTTACCGCTTGTGGAGTTTGCATATAAAAATAGTTTCCAGAAGACTATTGGGATGGCACCATTTGAGGCGTTGTACGGCTGACCGTGTTTATCGCCTGTTTGTTGGATGGAGGTTGGCGAGAGCAGATTCTTGGGTCCTTAGTTCATCAAGGATACTTCTGAGAAGATTGCTCTTATTAGGGATCGCATGCGCACTGCTCAGAGTAGGCAGAAGAGTTATGCGGATCGTCACACATGTGTTTTAGAGTTTCAGGTTAGGGATCAGGTGCTACTCAAAGTGTCTCCTATGAAGGGTGTAATGCGCTTTGGGAAGAAAGGGAAGTTGTCTTCGCGATTTGTCAGTTCATTCATGATTACGGATCGAGTTGGGGCTATCACTTATCGGTTGGCACTTCCGGATAATTTAGACCGCGTACACAACGTGTTTCATGTTTCCATGTTACGAAAATTTCTGCGAGATGAGGATAGGTATCAGCATATCGATGTTGGGGAGATTGAGTTGCAGCCGGATGCAACTTATTTGGAGCCACCATGTCGTATTGTCGACCGTCTGGATCAAATCCTTCGTAATAAGGTTATCCCTTTGGTGCGTGTTCAGTGGAGTCAACACAATGAGGCTGAGTCTACTTGGGAACGAGAGGATGTAATTCGCTTGCAGTTTCCTGAAATATTGGAAGAAGGTAAGAGCGAATTCTGAGGACGGAATTCCTTTTGTTAGGGGGGAAGAATGTAATACCCCTAATTTTAAAAGGATAGTCTCGGCATTTTAATTATTGTTTTATTGTATTTTTGTTTGACTATTTGCTTATTTGTGTAGGTGTTTAATTGTTTTCATTAGTTATTTGATTTAATTGTGATCTAATTGTTTAATTATGAATTTAAATTGCATTAATTGATTTCTTGTTTCTTTAATTGAATTGTTTATTTACTTGTATGTTGTATTTTCTTTAATGGGTTTAATTTTGTATTATTCATTTTAATGTGTAAATTAGTTTAATTAAAAGTTTTAATGGGATTAAATTAGTGTAATTATTATAATGTTAAAATTAGTAGTAAATTAAGTTGCAGTTATAGCTGTAAATTAAACTTCACGTATTTAGCCGACTTAGCTGTTATCTGTTCTTTCCCGGATCATATTAGGATTAGGGTTATATGGTTCTAAGCCTATAAATACACCATTATATTTTAGCCTAGGGTTTTAAGATCTTATCACAGAACAAATAAATGTAAAGTTAGTTCTGTAAAAACAGGGTAAGGTTGTGAGGAAAAACAGAGAGTTTACAGTCGGGGTTGCGACTGAGGATTAAGGGTTGGACCTAGGAGAAGGGAAGGCTGAGCAGTAAGAGGTTGTGTGGATGGTAAACGAATGTCGTCGGAGGGCTTAGGAAGACGGCGACAAAATTTTAAGTCCAAAACTGCAAAGGCAAGTTCTTTTCTTCCTCTTTCCCGTTGGCTTGTGTTTTGTGCACCTAGATAGACTCTAGGGTTTAATGAATCATAAAACTAAATCGTGCATGTTTAATATATATTAAGTTCATCATCTGTGTGTATTAAACTTATTCTGAAAGTGTTACTGCAGGTTGGTTTCACCTTTTAATCGTTAAGCATGTTGAACGGTAGTTGCTTTAATTGTTCTTTTAATGCAAATTGTCGTAAACAAAGGACTGGATTGATAACTGGATGTAATTTAAGACGCTTAGGTTTAGTTTTTACCAAGAACAGAAGGGGTGGAAGCGGCCGGAGACAAAGCAGAAGGCTGGAGGAGGTTCAGGCTCTTTTTTTTTAATTGAGCCTGCTCAATGTTTATTTAGAGCCGGCTTTATAAGTTTAAGAGCAGGCTCCTTTATATTCGTGATTTCTGGACTTTTGGGCACTGTTTGGGATGAATTTGGTGTTCTGAAATATTTATGGGAATAACTGAGGGTTCTAAATGAAATTTCATGGATTATTAAAACCTCATATAGCATAAATTATACCCGTGGGCTAATGGATAGAACAGTAGAAAAGTATACAACTTTGCATGCTGTTAACGGTTGGAGGGAAATTAATCGCTTAGTTTAATTCAGCGAATTAATGGATTATAGCATGAGTTAAATCTTGTTTTAAATGCACAGTAAGGTTATTTATTTATCAGATTTAACGTATGCATACTCTGGATTTATATTGCTGAAATATTTGTCTTTTTTTTGCAATTACATGAGTTAAGGATTGGATATAATTGCTGAAATATTATACACTATTCTGCAATTACCTGGATTATGGTTCTGGATTTAAATTGTTGTACTATTATTTATAGTCTGTAATTTACTTGGTTTTGGACTTTAATTGCTGAATTATTATTTTAAATTCTGCCAATTATCGAGATGTTGTGGATTATATGCATCGGTATGGGATGGTGGCATACTAGGGATGGCTTAACTCAGAATTTTAAGACCTACCCTATTGGAATAAGGGAATGGATTGTAAAAATTGAATCCTACTTATATTTAGGTCAGATCAATTGAGTAAGTTGAGTGACCACCTGGATTAACTGTTGGTTGTAGTTAAGTCATATCAACTAAATAAGTTGAGTGACTAACTATATTATGAATCGTATGTCAGATCAACGAACAATTGAGTGATATACAATGGTTTTGGACGGACTTTAGTTATATGATTATGATACCACGATATGAGCTTGAGTTTAATAGTTGATGGTTAGGGCGCATATATGCTGTGGATGCGTAGCTAGCTATCATAGGTTGAGGTGTACCCTATTAGGTCTAGGTACTTATGCCTACCTTCGGATGAGTTTTTGCATGTTACCTTCTATTCAGGTTGAGACTCCTTTGTAGTCCAGTGAATATCCCTTAGTGTGGATATATATATATGTATGGACTAGATAAATATTGTTGAGATATTTAAGGTGTATCTGTATATCGGGTCACTGTATGGATTGCAGTTAGATTAGAACTTATTCGTGGGCCTGACCCACTTTCATATTTTTCAGGTATTGGACGGTTTCAGTCTTAGGCTTAATCGTGCTAAGCAGAGACTATCATTCACTCTACTGACGACGTAAGATTCTACTCCATGTTTTAGAGTTGAATTTTATCTTCAGTTATTTATTTTCAGTTTGTTTTTATTAGGGGTCCACTAGATGGATTCCCGAGTTGTAAAATAATGGAGATTTTGGATTATTGGATTTTAACATCAATACTTTGAGGAGGTTATTTAATTAGTATTCTTTTCAGCCTTAGTTTTTATTTTTTAATTCAATTTTGTATTCCGTGTTCGTTTTTAAATATTAATTGTTTGATATTCCCTCGAGTTTGGGCTTGGGCCTGATCAACCCATGTCTCGGATTCTAGGGGTATCACAGTGGTGGTGGTGGTGGAAGGTAGTAGAGGTGGCAGTGGAAGCTAGTAGTGATGAAGGTGGTGGAAGTCGGTGGTGGTGGTGGTAGCGGTAACGGCGACAATGTGTGGTGGTGGAAGGCGGCGATAATGGTGTCGGTGGCAATGATAGTGGTGGAAGGCGGCAGTGGTGTAGGTGGGTGGAATGTGGTGGCGGCGGCGCGGTAATGGTTGTAGTAATGGTGATGGTGGTGGTGGAAGGCAATAGAGGTAGTGGTGGTCGAAGATGATAGTGGTGGAAGTCATTGGTGGTGGTGACGACAGTGGAGGTGGAAGTGACAGTAGTGGAAGGCCTTAGAGGCGTCAGTAGTGTGGTGGTTGAAGGTAACAATAATGGTGGCGATGGCAGTGATGGCGGTGGAAGGCAACGGAGGTGGCAGTGGTGAAAAGTGGTAGTGGTTATGGTAGAAGGTGGTGGTGATGGTGGTGGAACCATGGAAGGCAGTGGTGGTGGAAGAAAGTGGTGGACGAAAGTGGTGGTTATGGTGATTTTTGGACTTAGAAAATAAGATTTTTTCAGAACTTGATTTTTTTACAAAATCAACTTGGGGAATGGAATGACCATTTTATAGGTTTAGTTATGAAATGGATTATCATTCAAAATAATGATTTTTCATTTTAATGAAACGGCAATTCTCACTTTAAATTACGCACCAAAACAAATAAATAGTTAGAATAAACATTATATTTCATTTCATTCATGCACCCCAAACACAATATTAATTTCTTAATTGGGTGATATATAACTTTGAAATAATGAAAAATATGTTTCTTTTTGTTAATTCAAAGCCATTAAAAAGTAAAGAAATAGTTGATTCAATCAGGACAATTAGATATTTACAATTAAAAAAATTGATCATTTAATCATCAAATCTGAAATGTAGTACAATTTTAATGACTGGACGGGGCGGACATGGATAGTTCAAACAAGATTTTATTCTCGAACAAAATTTAATTTTTTAATTAATTTAATCTATTATATGACATAAAGAAGGAAATCGCACGTCACACCATAATTTTAATTTTTTATTTTTAAGAAGAGAGATATAATAGGTCCTTTATTCATGAACTAGATATGGCATGAACCTAGTTACAATAAATCCGTGAAGTGGGATCCACTTAAGATCATATAAAAATCACTTTTAAGTTTGATGGATGCGCAATATATTTGCCTTTCTTTCATGAATTGATGCTTGAGATGACAGAAACCAACTAGGGATGTGATTTAGCAATATTCAGTGGATTTTTCTGTTTGGGATTTTAACTCTTTGTCTATGATAATTTGGTATCGCATGGTACGAACACATGCAATATCACTAAAGTCGAAAATATAACACTATTATTTTGAGGACGAAACATATCAAAGTAACGGTGCTGCGTCTTTAAAATAATAGTGTTGCACATTCGATTAAACTAAATTGGGTCTCATAAAAATAATAGTGTTGCACATTCGATTCAACTAAATTGGGTCTCATATTTAATTTAATTGTGTTACACTTAAAAAAAAAAAAAAGAAAAAAAAAAAGGGTACAATAGAGAGGATTCGGATGGGAGAAATAGAGGGTAAGTGGTGTTAAAGTGGATTCTTAACCCAATCCGAAGGATTCAAATCAATTTTTATTCAAAGTTTAGGCAAAGATAAGCATACATATGTAATATTTATACATAATATATATTGACAGAGAAATATTTCAAAGTAGTAGTTGGAGTATTCGACCATGTATATATTGTACCAAGAATTTAACATGCAACCATTGCAACTACAATTACCTCATCATCATCTAATATAAAACCTTAGGTGACAACAAGAAATATTATTTTCTATTAATCTTTCTGAATTATCTAATATTTTATAATTTTTTACTTGTCAAAGCAAAATTTGATTATAGTAAAGTAATAAATTTTAATTTACCAAATATATATATATATATATATATATATATATATATATATATATATATATATATGCAGACACATATTCATATGGGCCGAAAACAAATATTTAATTAAATTAAGTAGGGTATTGGTGATTTCTGTTGAGAAAAATATTACTATGAATTTGTGACGGCCCAAGTTTTTCAACCCGGTGCGTCAGTGATGAACCGAAAGATGACCCGATAAAGGATCCGAAATGCGGAAGCAAAAGACAAACAACGGTCTCTAGAGATATAACATGACTCTAAGACGCCAATGTGACCCTCAATGAAGTCACGAAACCCAAAGGAAACAAATGCGGAAACAACATTTCAAAAACGAACAAGAATGGACCTAGGGGCAAAATTGTCATTTCTACCTTAAAAGTGGGTGCCACTGAGCACACCATTGGAAAGACAACGAAAAATTAATGAATTTAGACTCAAGAATTACTTGATTCGGAGTCCGGATGAAGAAGACATGGCTTACGGAAGAAGAAGGGGCAAAACGGTCAAAAAGTGCAAACCCTAGATCATCTAACCGGCTACCAAGCCTTCTTAACCAGTTAGGAGACAAAAAAAATTTGACTAAAACACTACCCAAGCACATGTAACCGGTTACCAAACTTCTCGTAACCGTTTACATGTGAAGGAGGCAGAATGGGCAGCAAGAAATTCTGGCAGCAGGGGTTTTTCCCGAAAAAAAAGGAAATTTGAGGACCTAGATGACATTTTCTGGAAAAACTCAAAGAAGAAACCCCCCTCAAAATCGAGTTTTCTACGCGACTTTAAGGAAAATTGAAAAATAAGCAATGTGAAATGCCCAAAATTCCCCTCTATGAAAACTGGTCCAGAGGGTCCAAAAAGCTGCTAAATTTAAAAACTGAGAGCTGAACTTTGGATGAGATTTCCGATGCCAAGATGGCATTTTCTGGAAAAACACGAAAAAGAAACCCCCCCTAAAATCACATTTTCTAAGTGACCATGAAAAGAATGGAATTTATTTCCCAAAGGAGATTCCCAAAATACCTTTAGGTCAGAATGTACAACAAAAATGTAAAATGAGTCCGTGGGAGGCTCATTTCACCAAAGAAGAAGTTTTGCCCGGAAACGACCATGCACGCAATCATAACTTACCTAATAAGATGTGCTACAATGGTCCGTGGCTCAAAAATATGGCCGAAGCAAAATATGACCCCCCAACGGCCAAAATGCCAAAAATGAAGTTTGAAATGAAAACTTGAAACCTAAAATCATGAAATGGTTTTGAAATGCCGTTTGGCCCTTGGCCACACTTCATGCATGTTAAATGAATGCTAATGGAAGAAGTTCATACACAATGCATACTCCGGTACAAAATAGCATACTAAAACGCATGGTTTTCCATATGTTCTCATAGAAGGCAAAAATTAACATCCATGACATAAATGTAATTTCAAAGGAGTTTGGCCATCGGCCTCATGTCATATACATAAAATGAGAATCAAAAAGTGTGCTAAGGCACACGTTACAAGTCTAGAAGCAAATATACACATTTGATATATAAGGTTACAAATGGCTTTTCAAGCCAACCTTCACAAGAATTGAACCCTTCAAGTTCCCAAATCATCCAAGCATGTTAAGAATCTCTAACCTTGAATCATGTACCTGAAATATGCTCCAGTATCATAGGGGTGAGTAACATAAAGCTATTCGTAGGAAATGAGCATGCATCAACCTACGTTTTACAAGTTTACATGATTAATTATTGTGGTTCATTCCACCTAACGTCTATTTCAAAGGTGAGACTCAAGGAACATCCTAGTTACCTAAGATCATTTCTAGCATCAATCACCTCATTCATGCAATTTTAGCAACATAGGGTCATGCTTACACAAAGCAACAACATAGGAGCATGCTTACACCAAACAACAACAACATAGGAGCATGCTTACACCAAGCAACAACATAGATTCTCAAAGTCATCAATTTGAAATCTAAAGAACGAAAATGACATAAGTGATCATGCCACCTAACGTCTATGTTCCAAATGAATCTATAGGATCATTCCTACTTTACATTTGAACAACACAACATGAATGTACTTGACAACATCAAAAGCTTATAATGATTCATTAAAATCATAAAAAAAGAATGTACTTAACAACATTAAAAGCTCACAATGATTTATTAAAAATCATGAACATGAATGTACTTAACAATATTAAAAGCTCACAATGATTTATTAAAAATTATGAACAGTACTTAATAACATTAAAATGATTTATATAAAACATGGATGTACTTGGTAACATCAAAATCTACAAAGATCATAAAGCATGGGTGTACTTAATAACATCAAAATCGCCGATAGCCAAAACCACAAGTCACAATATAAACATGATTGCTAACTTGAAATTGAATGCGAAAATAAATAATGGAAGACTTGGACATCTAGACTCGGAATTTTGCCGAGGTCAATGGTTGTTCCGGGCACTAACCCGCAGGGAAAACCACCCTAAGTACACACTATCTCAATTGGGGAGAACTCATACCTCCCGCACTAAAGCCGAACTTTAGCCATATTATAGTAACCATGTCCCAAGTGACTCCAAAATAAATAAGTTAACAACTTATATATATACGAAACTACATCCCATGCACAAGTAGTTTGTAACCACACAATACATGCTCTAAATCCACAACTACTATAAGATGACAAATGTCGAATCTTCAGAGTGCGATTCGTTACGCGTTATAATAACATCACATGTCGAATCTTCAGTGTGCGATTCGTTACACGCTATAACAATATAATCCAATATTGAAATGTAATCTCATAATTTCATTACAAGTCTAAAATCATGCTTTAGATATACAATCAACGTCAAACACATGATTTAAATCCATAATGCAATAGAAACGGAATTTAATCAAGTAAACTAATTAATTCCTCTAAGTTGCAATTCTCAACCAAATGGCCTCAAATTACACATGTTAAACAACATAGCATGGTTATTACATATACTAATTCCAAAACTTGATTAGGCCAATTCAATAACAAAATGGAATTTAATTAAATCATGATAATCAAATCCCTAAATTCTAAAACAACATAAAATGGTCCCATATTAACATATACTAGTATACAAGTCCTAGTCATCTCAAATATCAAGTCAAAACTTAATTAAGCTAAAGGAACCATTAAATAGATTTTAATTAATCATTTTAATTAAAATCTCTAGATTTTCATACTTATCCAAATACTCTCAAATTTAAGTATGTTAAACAACATGCCTAGACTTAATTTAACAGCATGCTACAAGTCAATTTCATGCAAGGTACATCCATGTAAATTTAATATTGTACAAAGAATTAAATATTACTAATTTTCAAGATTTGATACAAGTCATGCAATCAAGTTGTATAATCATGGAAAACACCCCATACAACACATACAAAATCCTAAAACATCCCCTACCTCCATTTGAGATGAAATCTCAAATCCCCACCAAAATAAATCGGCTCCGAATCCGACAAAACTCCTAGGTTTTGTCGGGGACAACATCACGAACATGAATCCCAAGGAAGCCCCATCAAAAACACAACTTGACTTCAAACCTGAACTCAAGAAACGGCCAAAACAAGATTCCAATCGGTTGGAATCGAAGGCCTCGCCGAGGGGAACAATAAACACAAAGGCATCACCACTTTTTAATGAAGGGAAGAAGTCCAAAAGAGGAGAGAGAAGATGGCAGCCATGGATGGAGCTTGGACCGGCCATGAGAGAGGAGAGAGAGAGAAAAATCTGATTTTTCTTTCTAAGGCCCTCTATTTATAGAAAATCTCAAAAACTTCCCCGAACAGGCCTCGCCGGATCCAGAAAAGTGAAATTTGAGCAGACGCGCTCAAACGGCAAAACTCTGTGAATGAAAAGATTCAAAATGAGAAAATATGAAGAACTGAAGAAACGGTGTAAAAAATCGAGTCCCGTACAGAAAGTTATGCCCAAAACAAGTTTGGCACAAACCGAGACCAAAAACCCTGAAACTGGAAAACATTGATCAGGAGGAAAATCTAAGAGTCCACGACTTGACGAAATGTGAAAATGAATCACGTACTAAGATCCAGGCTCAAAACAAGGCATTGAGCAATAACTTTCATTAATTGCACAATAGCCCCTCCAAAAAGTGAAAAATGTGAAACTGCCCCAAAATGAAAATATCTTCCAAAAGATATTTTCTTAGATATCCTTGAAATAAAATATCTTCAAAAGATATTTATGAAAAACACCCCAAGAAAGGGAAATGTTTCCAAAGAACTTTGCACTTATACCCCTATGGACACCGGGAGCAACCAGAGTACTTTTTCACGAAAGTAAAGATACGTATCTCCTAGAAATCATTGAGACTGAAGATACGTGAAGTCAGAAACCAACTCTGAACACAAGAAGTGTGGTTATGCAAACAAAGTGACAACGAGGAAAGGACGAAATAGGAAAAAAGACAAAATAGGGAAAATACAAAAAGTGAATAGTGTCGAAAAACGAAAAATGCGGAATTGACTCGGTCCTCAAAGGAAGTTGTCAATTCACATAAAAGAGTCTCGGAAATCACTCTAGAGCACTCGAGACGACACTAATTGACAAAAAACCAAACTCAGAAGGGAAAAGACAACGGAAAAAAATTTATCCGAAAAATCCGGGTCATTACAGAATTTATTTTCATTAAGCTCATGTTCTATAAACTTTAATGTTGCGTTTAGTATGCATGAATGGAATGAATGCAAGTGGGAATGTAATGAGAATGAGAATGGAATGGAATGCAAATTATCATTCTATAATTTGGTTGCAAATATGAAACGCGTATGAATCGAATGATAATTATCATTCTATTGCATGGTTGGACCAATTTAAAATTTAGAATTGAATGAATTTTAAATTGAATTTTCTAAAATACCCCTATTACTCACAAATAAATTAAATTAACAGAATAACATTCTTCTATAATATTTTTATAAGAAATTACGGCGGTGATAGATGGCGGTGACGATGGTGGTGGAGGAGGAAATAAGTAGTGGTGTAGGTGGTGGTGGTGGAAAACGGCAATGGTAGCAATGGTGGTGATGACAGAAAGTGGTAGTGGTGTTAGTGAAAGGTGGTCGTAGTGGCGGTGGCAGTGGTGGAAGGCGTCCATGGTGTAGGTGATAATGGTAGAAGCAGTGGCAGTGGTGTAGGAGGTGGTGGTCAAAGGCAGTAAAGGTGACAATGGTGGTGGTGGTGGAAGATAGTGGAGGTGGTGGAAGGCAGTGACGGTGGTAAAGGTCAGTGGCGATGGCTGTGACAATGGAGGTGGCAGTATTGGTGGAGGTAGTGGCGGTAGTGTGGTGGTCGTGGAAGGCGATGCTAGTGGTGGCGGTGGTAGTGGTGTAGGTGGTGGTGATGGCGGCGGCGGTGGCAGCGCAATGGAGGTGGCAGTGGTTAATGGTAGTGGTAGACTTTGTGGTGGTTGTGGAAGGTAGTGATGTAGGTGGAAGGTGGTGGTGGTGGTGGTGGTGAAATGCGATGATGGAGACGGCGGCGGTAGTGGTGGCGGTAATGGTGACGGTGGCAGGGACAATGACAATGGTGGAAGGCGATGAAGGTGGCGGTGGTCGGTGGTAGTGAAGGAAGTTAGTGGTAGTGGAAGACAGTAAAGGCAGCGGTAGTGTGGTGGTTGAAGGAGACATCAATGGTGGCGGTGGTGAAAATCAGAGGTGGCAATAGTGGTTGTGGTAGAAATTAAAGGCGGCGGCGGCAAAAAACAAAGGTGGCGGTGGTAATTGTGGTAGAAATTAACGACGGCGACGCATTCCATTCCCGCCTACCAAATAAAGCATTAATGATGAAAGCTACGATGTTAAGCTCTTTATTTAGCATAAAGACTATGGCAGTAATTTACCTTTAGAAAAATGATACATCCTGACTTCGGCGATGCCGAATAATTCACATGGCAATTATTCGGCATCTTCAAAATTAAAGAATGTATCACACTCTTAGTCTTTATTTTAACCGTTAACTGAGATCAAGTACTTGCAAAATGAATCTTCACTTATCATCAGCTAAATTAATCTTCACTTATCACGTGTGATGTGACACTAGATTTAAACACTTCGCAAAATAATTATGAATCATGCCATTGGTCACTTTTATTCAATCCATTCAATCATCAATTTATATCATAATATTTGACAATTAAATTGTCAATTTATTGCTTAAGATTTGAGTGCTCTATTTTTTTAAATTTTTTTGAAAGCTTCTTTTGGTTGTAGCCAATGGAAGAGTAGTTACTATGATACTTACCTAAACCAGCATGCAAAACGTGTATCCCACCTCATTTAATTTGGTAATTTATTAGATTTTATTTTATAGTATTTAAGTACTCATGAGTACTTAAATGTTCAATTCAACTCATTTTAAGTATCTTGAATTAGAATTTTTTTTTTTTTTTCAATCAAAGCTCATTTAATTTGGTAACTTATTAGATTTGAGTAAACATATCTTAGTGATGTCTTCCATATTTTCCTATTTATATAGAATAAAAAGAAATAAATTATGTACAAATATAGAGGAATAAAAAGAAATAAATTCTGTACAAATATAGAGAAATTAACATACATAAATAATGAATGTTCATAATTCATGACTTACAAGAAATCCAATATTTGGAGTCATATTTAAATTTTAAACCAGTTTCTAGTTCTTACCCAATTCTAAGAACATATTACATTACGGGTTTGCACGTATTCCTTCTACTAATTTCTCGAGCATCTCCAAATTCACCTAACGGTTATGAAAACATTATGAGTTTATGTTCGTGTGTGAAATTGTGACATTGTAGACACCAAAATTTCATAGGCTTTTACTTTGGCAAATTGGCATATCAAATATGATTCAAATTTATTTAAATTGTTTAATTGGCCCAAATTTGGTCAATTTAAATTATTTAACTAGCCTACCTGAGTTAGTTAAATAAATAAAATAAAAAATAATTATTTTTAATAAAATATATTTGGGAATAATTATTTTAATGAACAATTATCACAATATAACTGGCTCGGCCCAATTATGATTGTGTGTTTATCAAGAAAAGGACACTTGTCATCATTTTATTCATCCAGGAAGTCTATAAATAGTGGCATGGAGGAAGGAAGATGGATAATCTAAATATCCAGGATTCTAGAGAAAAATACGAAAGCTTTGCCGGCATTTATCCCCAACACCCAAACCTGAAGACGAAGAATAATAAGCACATCAAATCGTGCCATTCTTCATCGACGTTCCACGGTGATCAACAACAATCACATCAAATCGTGTTGTTCTTCATCGACGTTCCACGGTGATCAACAACGATCACATCAAATCGTGTTGTTCTTCATCGAAGTTTCACGATGATTCAATACCAAGCTCATGTAGCCCTTGAATACCAACAAAGGAGATCGAATAAGAGGATTTCATTCTTTTATAAATAATATTAAAGAGTAATGTACTCTCTTTTATTTATTAAAAATTAATAAAAATTCTATTTGTTTCCCTTTTTGTTTCTTTATTTGCATATATAAAATTTGTGTATACAAATTTTTGGCACGCCTGGTGGGACATCATTTGCCTCGCATCTCTTTCTTCTGTATCAAATCATCAAGACTTCTCTTTGTCAGAATCCATAACTCCTCCCAAGGTTCAGACAAACAAGAATGCACAAAAGAACATCATTGTTGTCATACCTCTATAACTTAAAGAAATTATTTATTGGGATTAATTGCTTTTATTTTATTTTAAATGATTTGATTAATTTAATTAGATATTTTGATTAATTGTTTTATTTTAATTAAATTATATTTCGTATTTTACTTGTTGAATTGATATGATGTTTTGCTTTGTGGAATGCCATGATTGGGTTGTTTATTTGACTATATATGTGTTTATGCTTGTATGATTTAATTGTGAATTATTTGTAATTAATAGATTTAATTTAATTATTTTATTTATTTAAAGGTTAAGAAATTGGGTTTAAGGAAGTTGAACCAATTGATGTGGTATTGGACTTGGATAAAGCTTTGTTGGGTTAATTAATCAGGGCCCATGGTTATGTAGATATATAAATGATTATCTTTCCATAATTATATATATATATATATATATATATATATATATATATATATATATATATTACATAATATATATGTATATATATTACTAAGAATATTACGTATATATTTATATTGAGTAGTCAGATTAGGAATAGAATTAGGATATACATGAGTCTATATACACACATAATGTTGTATTGTTAAAAAGGTTATCGCGTTAGAAAAATAAGGGAAAGAAAGGGAAAGAGAGAGAAGAAGAAGGGAAGGCTGACCAAGAGGAGGCCGGATCAGAGAGAGGCTGTTGGAATTAGAAGAGACAACCAAGGTGTAATGACCCGGTCATTTTCCTTCATTTCCTTTTTTCGGTAATTTCTTTTTTCATCATTTTCCCTTTTTCGTCATTTTCCTTATTTCGTCATTTTCCTTTTTTCGTTTTCCTTTGCGTAACCTCACTCTTTGTGCTCAAATTTTTTTCATCTTTACATGCATTCATGATATTTAATTTCCAACATATTTGTATTTTTACTTTTGCAGAAAAATATGTTACTTGTTTACTTTTTTGTAAAGGGCATAAATGCATAGTTTGTTAGAAACATTCTTGATTTTTGGAGTTTTGGTGTAATTAAATAAAGTAATTATTTTTCATTTTAGGGATCATTTTGCAATTTAATTTGGAAGATATTTTTAAAAAGAACCTTTTTGCAATTTCTGAAAAGTGTGACAAATGTCACATTCTCATTGGTCCACTTGTTGACATTTGTGTGGAGATACTTTGATGCCTTGGACGATGACATATGGAGGGTGGAGATTCACCCACTTGTTGACCTAGGATATGTGCACTTGTTGGCTTGGATGGTTGACAAGTGTAGGCTCAAGACTAAGCCTACAATGGATGCTTAGATTAATGACAAGTGTAGGCTCCAAATTTAGTCTTGCATTAGTGTGTGTGAGAGGTAGTGTAAGAGCAAATAGTGAATGGAGGATTTCACCAAAATTAGTCTAGGTTTTTCATTTTTATTTCATTTCATCTCTTTCCTCTCAAACCCTAACCTAGCTACTATTGAAGCAAAGCTTCACTTAGAGCTTTAAACTTCATTTTGGTCCCCTTCCACTCACCAGTGACCATAAAGCTTGGAATACAAAAGCTTTGCCCCACCTTCCTCTTCAAAACCATGGAAGGAAAAGTTGAAATTCCCTTATTTCCCTTGGATTCAAGATGAACAATTCTCTTGTGAGGTAGAGGGTGATTTATGTTTATGATCTTGTTGTTTTGTATGCTTAATAGCTTAGTATAAATTAAATACATGTCTTTAATCTAAATTTTAAGGTGGTAGGTAATAGTACATTGCATGAAATTAAGTTAAGACATGATTTTTAGAAAGACCATGACTTGATTCATAACTTATATTAGTTTGAAGTCATTAAGGGTTGTTTTGAAATCAAGAGAAATTAATTAACTAATTTAATTAATTTTCATTTATATGTTTCAATGATTTAAATAAAGTTTTAAAGTAATATATGTAATAACCATGATAGGTTCTTTAACATATATTAAATTGAGAATATTTAAATGAGAAATGAAATATAGAGAAATTAATTATTTTATTTAATTAATTTCCATCCTTGTTGTATTTTAATGATTTAGGTATGTATTTTACGTTGATTTTGGAAACTTGAGACGTTGTTGTTATGGCTACGGCTAGGGCATGGTTCTAAGATGGGGGATTGTCCTCCTAGAAGTCTAGTGCACACATAGGGAGGTTACCCGTGGACTAGTAACCCAAAAGTAACCATGTTGTCGGTCTGATCCGGCATGATGTCCGAGTATCCACTTTTGTTTGGTTTCGCACTTTAAATTCCAAGTTGACAACTTTGTGAGTTTATATCTTATTGCGTTGTATTGGAAGTTCTAATGTCGGTTAAATATTATGGATATAGTGATTTGTGATTTTATTGTTCTAATGTAGCCTAAGATGATCTCTTAGACTCATTTGGGACATAGACGTTAGGTGGCATGTACCAGATGGATTGATTTACATTAAATTGCAAAGTTTGTAAAACTTTAGGTCATACGCATATCCATTTCCTATGAGTAACTTATTTACTCACCCTAATTGTTTGTGTTATTTTTTAGGTAAAAAAGTACTTTTCATGGATGGATGATTTACTTAGCTTATTTTCGATGATGTGTCATGGACACACCCTTTTTGATACCATGCAAAGTGTTTAGCATGTGTTTTATAGCAATTTTGTAACTATGGACATATGAATTATGTTTTTGGGACAATTGATATGTAATGAGGCTCTAAGCCATTGCAACATAATTCAATATGAGTTTTATACTTGTTGACATGTTCACATGCTCAATCTTCTTTAAAAAATCAGTTTTTAAC